TTTGCTTTCATCATTCCCACGTTGCGTGTTCTTAATTAAATGAATTCTTAGATGAACCTATAATAATCTATTGATTGAAGAGAAAATGTTCAAATCTGTGTGAATGTTATTGGGGGGGCAGAGGTCATGGCACGACTGAATCACAGAGCGATGGGATGTAGATCTAGCCCATTTTGTCTACACATTTCTGTCACGGTCCAACTTGTTTTGGAATATTTCTTAAGTTAATAACGACGAAAAAGATAAAATGATAAGCAATATTGATATTTTTCAATCACGAGATGTACAATTAATCTTCTTTTGATGTGAATAAGTCAATAAGAGTAAGACTTGGACTAAGCCTAAAACCGCACTTACCCTTTTTAACCCGAAATTCCTTTGGAGTTATGTAGGCCTTAATTAAACTAAAACAGGCGATACCACCGCCTTTGACTTCAAATATTATAAGAACTTATGAAATAGTTAGATTATTCTCAGCAGCGATCATTGTTCTTTCACTATATACAGATAATTCCTGAACTGGACTACTAAACATGAATGTGAATTCTAGATAAACATTCAAATGTTGGAGCGAGGTAAACTAACTTTGACCAAACAACTTCTAGGTCAATGCGCGTCACAACATAGCAATACGGCAGCCCGTTCATGTAATGAAATTTATTCGTCTCAAATGTAAATTAAGTAATAAACAACAATATTAAAAAGTTCACTTTTAAACATTGTTGTTCTTTACTTTTTTTTAGAGATTCACTGGGGTATGACATGAAGTCGGTACGTGATCAAATCTACTATAACGCTCTTCGGGCAATACAGAATTTGATCACGTGTCCGACTTCATGTCATACCCCAATGAAACTCTAAAAATGATATTCTATTTCTTAAGGACGTTCGATCCTGATATTTTGAGCGTATTTCGCGCAGGTCCTTTATTCATAAAATTAAGCATAATTTTTAGGTTCTAACAATAAACCTGAATTCTACAATGCAAATTAAACTATATTCAATGAAAAAACCGCGATTTAATTCCATTCAAGTAGAATTAAGCTATGGACTATATTTTGTGGCGGAAGGTTTTTTTAGACGAAAATGGTCAGTTTTTTTCCATTTGAACTATAACAGTACTGTTAATTTTGGATGCCAATTTTTCCATGCTGGTTGCACAAAAAGTTGTTTTTTGCAGTGAAATATGTTATGCTGGTTCTGAAATATCTATTAAATTATTTCTTGTGAATTCTATCAACAAAGCGTGACAAATATAGTATATATATTCTGAAAATCCGGGAAAAAATTGAGCCAATTTTAACGTAAAATTCACACTTTTTTAGTAATATCTGAAAATGTACATCATATACCCCCACTTTTGATGTTCTTTTCTAAATATTCAAGATAACTTTGACCTATTTGCTTAAAATTAGAAAAAGTTTAAGACTTTAAATTAATTTTCTTGCTTATTATACTTTCAATGCCGGAAAAATAACATTTTATTAGTGCAGAAAGGTCAAATAATTGATTATGCGAAGCAATTTGAAACTTTTTCTTAGTCACAATTTTTAAGTGTCTTTTTTTAAACAGACTAAGAGTTCATTTTGTCTCATGCTTTAATTGGATAAAAATATTGCAGGGAAAACGTTGAAGATATAAGACGTCGCGCACACAATTGGGGCTGATTTTGTAACGTCAAAATATACTTTTCTGACGTTATTGCATATGTCGTTTAAGCGTAAAAACGTCAAAAATTCACGGCGTAACAAATCAGACTAGACATTCAATTTTTGCTCCTGTTTTCTTAAAAATGTCTTGCTTTTTAATGTTTCTTTAAAAACAAAATTTTATTAATTTGCACATTTTAAAAATAATATTTTATCTGTTAAAAGTTTTCCCAGTAAATAAAGAATACAGCTCACATATACGCCCGGTTAAATACCAAAATACGCATATTTGTGTCGTAGTAACAAAACTATATATCAAAATCGCTCTATTAATCTCCCCTACTGCTTCCTTATAATTTTTTAAAGAAACATTTGACTACTTCTTTATTTGCACATTTCATTTATCAACTTAGTTTTACAAAAAGAACCTGTCATATAGTAAAAAATGTTTATCAAACATTCTATCTTTTCTTGTAACTTGTCAAGATTTCGGCGTATTACGGAACGCTTCTTATTTTACGAACAGTCGGAACAGTACGTAAATTAGAAATTTATTAATAAATGTTATGTGACATCATCACAGGAAGTTATAGAAGCTTGGTACAAATTATCAGAAAAATCCACGTAGCCAAAATGATAAAATGACCAAAAATACTAACACCAGTCGTTTACAGTGTTACAAGTTAAGCAATTTCAAACCCCAGTACTATGCGCGACGTCAAAATTTTTAATTAAGACACAAATTTCAGTGCAGAAAGGTCATATTAAATGTACTGTAGCGCTAAAAGAAATTTATTGACCCCCATTTTTTGATTTGAATTTTAATTAAGCTATGTATGTAGAAACTAAAAATATACTTGGCAAAAAAAGTTTAAGACTTTAGATATCAGGATCGAACGTCGTTAAGTAACAACATGTATAAGCCCCATGGTGACCAAAATTGCAAGGATGGTGTATCTAGGGATGAATCCTACCAGGCTCGCTTCAGATTCTGGATCCGACATACATTATTAAGATGTTTAACTGTACCCAGTTGAAATTTCTGGAAAATAGGCCAATTCCCAAATTAATCTGACTTGCGTTTCCATAAGAGTTACCAGCTTCAAGGTTTTTGGACAGGTCCATTCCAAAGTAATTATAAAGCCTACCTCGATCATGCATGCATGGATTATGCATCTCGGAATACTTTAACCAGACATGCTTTGGATACAGCATCTGCCCTTCCTGAATGATCTAATCTACATTATCCAGGTTATCAAAGCAATTTTTAGCAGAATCATTCCATAGATACTGTAAATCCTACCGAGGAAAAACTTTCAATTTGAATCTTATAATCCACTACCCAGTCATTCCTTTAATTTGTATTAGACTTTGTCATCAATTCAGTCTACGGTATTAAAACTTATTAAGATCTTTGATCACAAAAAGTATAGCGATCTAGTTGGAGCAGATCAAAGACTGATCTAATTTTAATGTCATCTTATATATAACAGCTTTAATTGTTATCTTTGGTTAATCCTTGTTGTCTATTATGCACTGAATAGCAGTCTTAAACATGGAAAAATTTCAGCATCTTCTCTGATGCAGCTCATTCAGTTTTGTGTCTCCATGGGTCAGGAAAGTTGAGATAATACACGTAACACAACTTCTAAGTGTTCACTTTAATAAATGCATTTACCAACAAGAGGCCCATGGGCCTTATAGGTCACCTGAACATATGCAACAACTTTCAAATTATTGAATTTGGTTCATGTTTTAAGCTAGATGATATGGCATTCACAATTTTGGAAGATCATAACCATACACTTAGCTATTGCTTAGTTTGGTTACTTAATACCCATAGGCAGGGTAGGGGAACAAAAATACATTCAACTAATCAATAATATTCAGCAATAATCAGAGGTGCCCCTACCACACACGAACCTCTGACCCTAGGTCCACACATTGCACAATTTTTTTAAAAGGCACACATGCTCATCAAAAATATTTGATTAATACCAAGGAGCAGATTTTAAACTATTTTCAGTGTATAAGTAGAGCCCCCCCCCCCCCCTCTATGGTATCTCTGACCCTGGGGCCTTGGAAGAAGAGCTATGAACTATATATGTAGTTCATCTGCTTATTAACCAAGAGCAGAGAAGAAGAATTTCAAAGAATATATGCGTTTTCACAATAAAATCATTACAGAACCCTGCCCTAACACCAGAACCTCTGACCCTGATGCCATGAAATTCACAATTTTAGTTGAGGCATTCCTGCTCATCATAATTCTGTACTTAGTTTATTCATACTCAGGAGCAGAGAAAAAGATTTTCAAAGAATATATGCATTTTCACTATATAATCAAAAGAGTCTCTTCTTAACACCAGAACCCCTGACCCTGGGGCCATAAAATTCATAATTTTGGTAGAGGCATTCTTGCTCATCATAACTATATACTCATTTAGTTTAATACTCAGGAGCAGAGGTGAAGATTTTCAAAAAATTAATGCATTTTCACTATATAATCAAAAGGGCCCTCCATTGACACCAGAACCCCTGACCCTGAGGCTGTAAAATTCACAATTTTGGAAGAGGCACTCTTGCTCATTATATCTATGTACTTAGTCTATTTAATAACCAGGAGCAGGGAAGAAGATTTTCAAAGAATTAATGTATTTTCACTAAATAATCTATATAACCCCGCCCTAACACCACAACCCCTGACCCAGGGGCCATGAATTTCACAATTTTGGAAGAGGCACTCTTGCTCATCATAACTATGTACTTAGTTAGTTTATTTAATACCCAGGAGCAGAGAAGAAGATTTTCAAAGAAACTAAAATCTATATAGCTTTGCCCTAGCACTAGAATCCCTGGCCCTGGGGCCATAAATTTTACAATTTTGGTAGAAGACTCAATGCTTATTACATTCATGCTTGATGTCCACAAGTAAAGAAGATTTTTAAAGATTTCATTAATTTCAGTGGTTTTGGCCCCACCCCTCAGGGCCCAGGGGGTGGGAACCATAATATTCACAATTTTTGTTCCCCTTCACCAATAGATGCTGTATATCAAATTTGGTTGAAATTGGTTCAGTGGTTTCAGAGAAGAAGCTGAAAATGTTCAAATGTTAACACACGACACGACAGACGAAAACGGATAGCAATAGGTCACCTGAGTGACTAAGGTGACCTAAAAAGTTATCGCATGGACAAAATTGCACAAACGGAAAAAATATATCAGAGGGACAAGATAATTCCTACATTTCCCTCTCCCCAAATTTGATTGCTAAGGGTACACATATTATCTACTGTTTACAACCTCTTTTTTTAACCTTTTAAATCAACCAATTTAAAAAAAAAAATTGACTCATTATAAATGTTTTAAACATATTAGACAAATACAATATCTTTCAGGTATATTTATTATTACATTCTTATTATCTTACATTTACATACAATTACTAGTATGTATGGACATTATTTTGCAAAGTATTTGAATTTCCTCTGAACTGAGAAAATATACACATACCATGTAAGAATAACTCACATATGTGCAATATATAAGACATTTAAGCTTTCCTTGAAGTAAAATATTTGAATAAAGTATTTTCCCCAGGGTTTTAAAATTTGCTTGAATCAATTCCAGTCAGGTTTGGTTTTCTTCCTTGAACACATCTGAGAACAAGCTTCTTCAGCTCGAAATAAAATTGTGGGTACCGGAATAAATATTTATACACATGAGAATCATTAACTAACAGCTTTGCTGACATTTGAGTAGCCTACTCCCACACAAGTCATGATAAGTTTCTCTCCTCCCATCCTTAAATCCTCATCCTCCTCAGGTATCGGCTGTGGTTCCACTTTGAACATGACATCAAAGAAATCGTAGATGTGCCTCAAAAACTGGATTCTACAACAGACGTGCATGTATATTAACTTTCACATAAAAAAAGTTTTTTTCCTTTGTTGTAATATTGATATTCAGTCTATATACAACAAAGAATACATTATTATATTCTGTGTTGTACAGTGCCTCAGTAAGTAAACAAGGTTTGTGGTTTTTTTGCATCACCCTTACCCATAAATTTAATTTCCCACACAGGATTACACTGTCATTTAACAGGTAACAGTTCAATGAATTTTCTTTTAAAACAGGGCTTCCACAAAATTACATCCTAAAAGCAGTCAAATCTTTGTTCTCCAGCATTGATCCCCCCACAAATTAAAATGATTCCACAGTAACAGAAATTTACATGTACTGACAAACTGATGTCTATGAGTGCATATATATTTTACATGTATATTGGATTTCACTGTGACTCTATTTATCAAGAAAAAACATAACATATGACAGTATTAAAATGCATTTACACCATGTAGTACCAACTTACGAGTATGGTGTTAGGGGACCTGTTTGAACTTTGGAGACATTTTGTTGACCTAGGACCATAAATAACGCAGTCACACTCTGATTGGTGGAATCTACACATCCTCCCTACAATAAATAAACATGAAAACTATTATAGTGATACATGTTACCATACAAATACAAAATTGAAACCTTGGATCAAAACTCTGCCCACACCATCACTTTTTAACTGTTGACCATCTATATGTTAACAAATGCTTGCCCTCTATAATGACAGTTGTGATCTCTCTATTGTAGATTAAGCATTTGATACAATTTAAATAACATGCTTCACTCTATTCACTCTGCCTGATCACCTTATATATTTCCTCTAGCAGTAACTTTGCTGTCTCTTTCCCGAGATCCTCTGGAACAGAGGGTCCTTTGTCTGATCCTTTAGGATTGGAGGAGGTTTCTGCGCAAAGAAATGATCCATTTGTTGTCTCCGCCACTAACGTCAAACCAAAACCTGGGGATCTGTTGGTAAATAAATACAGTAAGTAATGAATAATAAATAAACTCAGAATAAGGAAAGCTTACACTGCAAACAGCATATCAAAGCATTTAAAAAAATATTAAGAATTTTACATTTCTACTATGTAAATATCTTTGTAATGGTCTCTACGTGTGTAGATATCTGGTATTAACTTACTTTCCTGACTGTGCCCCTTATGGTCAGTGTATATGTAGATATCTGGTATAACTTACTTTCCTGACTGGCCCCCTTTGTAATGGTCAGTGTATATGTAGATATCTGGTATAAACTTATTCAGTATGCTCCTGGCAGAGTCCACTATTCGGTTCGTCACAACAGGTGCCACTCTCACAGCCCAGCTGAGAATTGCTCAGGAATACTTTTCAATACACTGTACCAGACAATACATTGCAAAGATCCATAATTAATAAGTAAAGAAATAAACAAAATTTTCAGTTAAGCTTATTCTTAGATTTAGGACCTAAAGTACATAAAGAAGACAAATTATTTCTTATTATAGCATCAATGATGGCACATTGTACATATAAGTATCTTCTTTCTTTCTTATTCAAATAAAATACACAATCAACCATCAACATTTTTTGGTGTATATGAAAGATCTTGACCCATGCATATGCCTGTACATTTAATTTTTGAAGGATACGCTATGCCTCTTATTCTTTTGATCTTTCCAGGATCTGTGAACAGCAAAGGTCTTAGTTTCTGTCGACAAGGACATGTGAAGGTCACCTCCCCACCTCCCTCTGGGGCTGCCCCCCTTCTTACAATCTGTAAAAAAAAAGTGCTGTTCATTATTTACATTTTAGTTATTTTTCCATTCCAAATCACATAAATGGAAAATCAATGGAAGGATAACATGTATGTATCAACATACCTTTAGTTCTAAACCCTCATCTGTGCCTAAAAACCTCTTCAGTACTGGAAAAGTAGATAACTTGATCATATCAACCTGAAAAATAAAACCAGGAATATTTTTTTATCAATATTATATATGCATTAACATTTTCATTATTAACTGAGTATTGTCTGATTAATATCTTATAAGAACCTCTGCCCTTCACTGATCAGTCCAACGCACCACTAATTACATGTACATTTCTAGAATCAGATTTATACAGTAGGGTGTTTCTTCAATGAAACATGACCTAAGTGAACAAGTCATTTTAAACTTTGCTTCTCACAAATTATATGTTAAACTTCTTGTGTATATTAAGAAAACTGTAGATTTTGAGTTATTGCATCGCAGCTAACTGGACATATACCATGATTACTAAATAATATTGCATTTTTACGCCGTAATGTTGAAAATATTGTATGTTACTAGGCCTATTTTGATTTTAAAAAAACTTACTGATGGGTCAATTTGGTCATTGGTGACTCCTCTTAAAACTGCTTGAATTGGTTTCTTTGTGAAAGGAGCTAAGCATATTAATCCTTCCAGATAGTAGCCTATGCTGCGCTGTATATTACAATCATGCTCGATTTTACCTCCTACTAATAATCCTGGCTGGTATAAAATACTTGTACCTACAAAACAGAGAATTCAATCTTAATATACATTAAATCAAGACATGCCTAGAAAAATAAAATATGTAGACAGATTTCATGTGATATTTTCCATGAGTTATTCCCCTTGGAGGAATTACTTGGAGGTCAAGCTGGTGAGTTTTCCTCTTTGATCAATTGACTTTAAAAATATATGGTGGATATATGCAATAAAAAATCTTTACATCATTAAAATTATGAATCAAAGGAGGTTCTTCCAAACATAAATTTCCGAATTGATGAAACAATATGTATCACATGTAAGAATGGTCCATTAAATTAATATGACTGCTGAAGCTCCCAGTAATATTTTAATTTTGTTTCTATTCTAGTCTCTCATTGGTTGATTTCCAAAAAAGAACGCAAACCATTTCTTGATAACCTGGTTTGGTATGGGGACACACCCCCTTGACAACTAGCTGATTGATCTGTATCTATGCAATCCCCACATTTCCAGTCCATGGGATTACATGGAAATTCCAGATTTAATAAATGTACCTTTAACTTTAAACAGTAGCTCGATCTTACCTCGTGTAAACAAACATCATGGCTGCTAGATCTGTGTATCAGTTATTACCTCCCCTTGTTTCAAATCACTTCTGTTACTAGGGATGTATTATTGAGCGGCAAATTTGAACTCATAAAAAGCAGCACAATTTTACACCCACAGTTGTTTATTTATTTTAAAATTAAATTATAAGGAATGACTCTAATTGTTGGCCAAATTATTCGATGATAACCTGGTTTGGGTCAGTTTACGCTTTTTTATAATCCGCTTCGCAGATTATAAAGCTTAAACTGACCCAAACCAGGTTATCATCGAATAATTTGGCCAACAATTAGAGTCATTCCTTAAATATCGCAAGTACCTCACAGTTATCTAACATACTACCGCTCTTCTGCAAGGAGGTCGAACAATTTTATGCCAAAAGTACAATGTACTGTCAAGAATTGAACTCCAAATAGTAGATTGTCAAATTAGGAAAGTTTAGAATATTTTATCCGCTTTAAA